AGATACACCCAAACTTCCAAGCAGGTATTACTGGTTCAGCTTGCCCGGCAAGTGCCCCAACCTACCCTGGACGCAGCTCTGCTACATTCTTAGGGTTTCGGGCTTTGGTTGTAGGGTTTGGGGTTTGGTGGGGTAAAGGGAGGAGTATCTCAAAGTGACCAGTATCAGTATAGAATCCAATCCGCATAATCCCTGGGGATCCCAACCGAAATTTCCATGTGCGAGTTTCTCGAGATCAAGTGTATTCCGCGCTTTCTAGGGCAAGTCCTCCAAGGGTCTAGGATTTACCGCCAAGAAGGGGAGTGCGTGAGTGTAGCTCAAGCTTAGGGAATGCGGCTTCTCCCCGTTGGTTGGGATGATAGTTTCAAGAACACACAAAAGTTTCACAGCCCTCCTGCATGCTTTGGGGAGCCATCCAGAAGAGCCCTAGACCTCTGAACCCCAAACCATACACCCCAAATCCTGAACCCAAAGCCCTAACCCCCCTAGACCCTGATTTTTTCAAGAAATCACCGTCTTGTTGTCAACCATTACAGTTGGTTCCCCAAGTTTCTAAGAACTACCCAGGCCGCAAGGCTTGTGCCCCATATGGCTGAAGGGTTTAAGGATTAGGGTTTGGGGTGTAGGGCTTAGGGGCTTCTGATACCTCAAGCTCTGCCTTTTTGGTACCTGGACTGCTTTTAGGGATTATATAGGGACTATTAGGGTATATATTGGGGTTCTATAGGGATAATGGAAAATGAAATGGAAACTACGATATTATTCTTTAGAGTTAGGGTTTAGTCAAGCTTTATCTTCTTCGGCGCGGCTAAGGTGCTTGAAAGGCCCACAGCATACAGACTGCTCCCATACGGGAGAGGAATTCGGCGTCCACCCGGTGACCTGCAACTGGTCCTGTTCACAACTTCAGGCTTTAGGATGTATAGGTTTCGGGGTGTAGAGTCTTAGGGGCTTACAGTCTGGGGCTAAGGGTTTTAGTCTACGAGTGGTTTGGTAGTTTAGTTTTTGCTCACTATTATCCGTGGATCTGTTTGCATGTTTCGGCTGGCTGTTCTGTTGCAAGTTTGTTTTCCACGGTACTGTCGCAAGTTGGAGGCCCCGCATGTAGAGGCAGGAGCCTCCAAAAAAGGCATCATTCTGACATGAACAAGATTGGCATATGGGTCTTTTATACTTTTTGCTGGATAGGGGCTTCTTTATCTAGCTGCAGAAAGAATTCTTGTTCCATGGTGTAATGTAACAGGGACGGAAGTAAACCCTGAAACCCATCCCCTAACAAGTCCTTCAGTAGGATCCGCCGCCTCTTATCCCAGAGGGTCCATGTAGTTACATTGCTTTGGACCCTAAACCCTAAACCCTCAAACCGCGCCTATAGTTTATACTTTTGCCCTAAAGTAGTTATATGGGAATCTCCCTGGGCCCCTAAGTATATACTATATGGCAACATGGACCCTTTGCAAGTATTTAACATGACCCGCCCGCTCCCTGATGTCATCTTCTCAGGATATGAAGTCTCTCTTCAGGAATATCCTATGTGAGGGGAATGGGGTGGTGCTTGAGCTCAGGGCAGAGTACTGAAACTAGAAGTGCAACTCCTGGGGGGTTTAACCTGAGATGTCACTACCAAGTAAGAATCGTATTCACAATTGATAGTTCACCCCCATATGTAGACATATCTATGTACATATAAAGAGAGAGACCCCAGAAGCTTACAATCCTTATTGCGGGGGCTCCCAAAAAGGTACCCTATGGGGGAAACTAAGCCCTAAACCCTAAACCGAATGAAGGTGCATCCTAGGTGCTGCCACGGGTTGCGCTGGCAAAGACGACGCTGCAGCCGCTAAATGCGCCGCCGACTTCACGATGCTTTGCTCCAGTTGGAGATTTGCTGTTTATAGGGGTTATTTAGGGATGTATATGGGATATATATATATATTCTATATAGTTCCGTTTTGGGTTGTATATAGTAATCCCTGTCTAAAAAACCATACCAAACCTAAAACACGACTACATAGGAGCCTTTGGGTAAAGGTGGAGGCTCCATAGATTTGGGTTGCTTTCTTGCCATATACCAAGCCCCTTTATTCGAAACACCATATATACAGGGTTCAAGGTTTCGGGTTTAGGGGGATTTCCTAGAATTAGGGGCTCCATTTTGATAAGGAATGTACTATATCGGGGTCCATATGGGGTCCCCTACTTAGGGAAACTACCATTTGAAATACAAGAGGATTGGGGATGGTATTATAACTTAGGGGCTACTAGAAGGATCCCTTCTTTTTTTGCTTGTTAACAAGAGGTAGGTATAGGTACATAGAGTGACCCAACGGTACATGCAGTGCCTTTGTTCCACAATGTGCTCCACGACGCTGCCCAACTTGTTGACAGCAGCTTCTTTGTCGTTTCCATACCGTTTCAGCGCAGCCATATGGCAGTTTCCGTAGTGGGGGGACCCCAGTAACCCAGAATACCATTTTTTATTCGGATCCCCAAGATGGTGCTTGCATGCCTATTCTTGGGAAGCCCCCATATCTTGATGCGAGAGACTGTGCAGCCTGGCGCAGCCTTTTCCAGAAGTCTTTGTGAATCCGAGGGAAGGAAAAGAGCAGACCCTTGCAGACTGCTGAGACGTGGTTGCAATATAGTCTCCCTTAAGTATGAATCCTTCTTTCAGGGGGTTATATGGGATCCGGGTTTAGGGTTTAGGGGTTCAGTCCGCCTTAAGTACATAGAATATGGCTTTGGCATCTTATAATCCCATATACCCCATATTCTAGCTACTTAAAGGGGACTATAGTACTATAGAAGCCGAAGTAAATGCCAAAGTTATGGTTCTGTTTTCCCTGTATACGTATGGTATGGTATGGTATGGTATGGTATGGTATGGCAGAAGGTACCAAAAGCCGACCTCAACATTGATATTGGTAAGTATTTAGGCGATTACAATTCCCTCCCCTGCCCAATCCTCAGGGTGGAGAGGGCTTCATTACTGCAGTAGCCCCTCCAACCTAACCCTAAACCCTCAACTCTAAACCCCTAAACCCCAAATCCTAGACCCGAATCAGGTGATGGTCTCCCATGCTAGACGGTAAGAGCATACTACGTGACGATTGCAAGCGCTACACTAAATGCGGCTTTACCAAAATAAACGGTCCTTCCCTGGAGGTTTACCAGGGCCCATAGTACGATGAGCGCAGAAGTGGAGCCTACTTCTGTAAGCCCCAAAATCAAACCCTAAATCCTAAATCCTAAACCCTAAACCCTAAACCCTAAATCCTAAACCCTAAACCCTAAATCCTAAACCCTAAATCCTAAACCCTAAACCCTAAGCCCCAAAAGCAAAACAATGTCAGAGGTCCCTCCAGCAACTCTTAGGCCGACTTGTCCTGAAAACCTCAATCTACGCATCTTACCGCGTAGGGTTTCAAGTTTAGTTCATGTTGTAGGGTATGGTCAGTAAGTATACTATATTGCAGAAACCCTATTACTTACGGTACATATACCCATTATGGTAACTCAATGTAAGCTTAATGAAATTCATTCCTCTGTCTTCTTGCTGGCTTCTTAGTTGCCATGCGATGATAGCCGTAGTCGAAAATTAGGATCCCCTCGGTGTGAAACTTACTCACTTGAGGAACTTTAATTATGTCACCAACATATTGATGGGTATGTGGTCTCAGTAAATCATAGGGTTTCCTTATTATAGTAACTTGGTGTTCTTTAACAGCAACCCACTTCTGGGTTTAGGGATGGCTTCTTGATACCTGAGGGTAGCAAAATCCAAGTTGTTTCTTCATGCCCCAAACCCATGCCCCAAGTATGCAGTCTAATTACTTCTTTCCGTGCTCAAAGTAGGTATCATATAGACAGAAGCTTGAGACATGGTATGGCATAATGAGTCCTAAACCCTAAAATCTAAACCCTATACAAAGCACGCAACTTTTTTGGAGCAGCCATCCAGGCCTGCAATACTCTGCAGACCCTAGCTTCGACAAGAAGGTTCGGCAGGCCTTGCATTGTTGCTGGTACCGTACCCCTTGAGTAGATAGAATATTAGGGTATATTATTGGAGTTATATTGGGAAAATTGAAAAGAAATGGAAACTACTATTTAGTGTTTAGGGTTTAGGGCTTCCCCATCATGGTAACCCAACTTAAATTCCTTAAGATGCGTGGAGCTGGGCGGGAGGCTAAACGCGAAACCCTCAACGCCCCCCCCCACTCCCCGAAGCCCTGCACTCGCCTTCAAACTCTAAACCTAGGGACCTCCGCATGTTCAAAGGTGAGGTAAAGGATTTTTTTTCGGGAAAGTAGCCAAGTCCTAAACGCTAACACCTCAACGCAGAGTCCAAAACCTAGACCTTGAACCCTATATAGTCCCCCTTAAGTAGATAGATTATGGCTTTGGGTATATTATAGTAATTAAGATCCCCATATACCCCATATTCTATCTACTTAAGGGGGACTATAGCCCTAAAACCTGAACCCAAAAACCCTAAACTGCCGCCGCTCGGGCTCGAGCTATTTACTTCAGCTTTCGCAGCTCACGTTCTAGAAGCAGGCCCCGCCTTTAGCAGCCCTGTGCTGCTTCTCAGCTTTGGCCTCAGAGCTCAGCGTTTCAATTCGTCAAAAGACTTGAGTTTCGATTTTATATAGTTTTTTGGATTTAGGATTTAGAGCCTTTAGACCTTTAGGGTCTATAGGGCTCAGTTTTTTGGGCAATACTGTGCAAATGAGCCCCTCTCCCCTCATAGGGGGAAGCCGTCCGACAAACTTGACTTCAAGCCAAGTAGTTTGGGGTTTAGTACTTAGGATTTTGTCCTGGCGTTTTGCCTTGTTGTTCTCTTTATATACATCAAGAACTACAATCTTGATTCTTGCCCCCCCCCCCAGGAAAAAAGAGCCCCTAAGCTGTGGAAACTGTAAGCCCTCCACCCTACAAGCCTTATGACACTGAAACGCCCCAAAACATACACCCTAAACCCTAAACCCATGCCTGAGGTTGCGAAATGGGAAAGAAGATCGCCATTGTTTACACCCTCCTCACCGCCCACTGGCTTCGAGGATTGCTGAACTAAGGTCCAAGGTCTAGGGTTTAGGGTGTAGGGATTTAGGGTTTAGGGTTTAAGGTTTTAGGGTGTAGAGGTAGGGATGGGCTTCTGAGCCATGAGATTGGTTTCTGAATACTTACAGACTGGGCTAGGATCGTTCGGGGCTTTGTTGGTTTGGGTTTAGTGGTCTCAAAATGCGAGCAAAATTTGCAGTATTGACCAGCGCAGCCATCAGTAGTATCAACTACGCAAAACAGTTTGCAACAGAAGTTGACAGCAGGTGGGCCCGGAAAGTGCTAAGTCCTGGGCTCCACCAATTTAGGGTCGGGCTCCTTTAATGACGGGCTTCCAAAGTCACCTTGGAGCAAGGTAAAACCCAGAAGCCCAAACAACTGTCCCGAAGCCCTAAGCTTTGAACACTGCTCCACCGTGTAATAATCCCCAGTATTTCAGTTACGCTGCAGGAACATTACACTCGTAATGAGTGTTGGGCTGGCTCGTGGGAAGCCCCGAACCTTGGAACCTTATAACAGTAAAACCCTGAACTAAGAACCTTAAATCTTGATCCCCTAATTAAATAGACCATATGGCACTAAATCCCAAACCCTCAAACGTTCAGGCTTTAAACCCTAAACCCTAAACCTAAACTCCAGACCCTAAATCCCAAATCCTAAATAATCCTAAACCCTAAATCCTACACCCAAGATAATCCTGAGCCCTAGACCCTTAACCCCAAACTCGTCAGACCTAGGTCTTTGGCCTCGTCCTTCAAGGCGTTTCCACAAATGTCCGATGGCACGCCGTGCCCGCGCTGCAAGCCAATATGAGAGCTTCCGAGATGTAGAGATCTCTCTCTCTCTCTGTGTCTCGCTCTCGCTCTCTCTCTCTCTCTCTCTCCCCTATATTTATGTATATATATATATACACAGACACACACACATATATAGATATATATAGAAAGATGGATATGCACATCTACAAATATGGGGGGATGATACAAGGGTGGAGAGGCACGTGTAGAATATAGATGTGTATATATATATATATATGTGAATATGTATACATATATACACATATATATATGTATATATGCTACATATGTGCGTGTATACATATATAGATAGATGTTTTTTTGATATAAACTCCCACGTAGGACCTCACGCCTTAGGGTTCTTTTTTTGCAAGACGCCCGCTTCTCGGAACTCGCTGAAGGACGCACCGCATTTTTGCCTCGTCGAATCCAATATGGATGTTCACAAAGGGGGTACCTCAACATATTAGAACCCTATACACTGTAAGCCAGGATGTAGGAGCACCCAAGACAAACACTGTTTTTCAGAATTCCCGGTGCCCCTCTGCCGGAGTACCTAGACCGGCGGCGTAATTGACACAGCATGCTCCATGATCAGAACGGGCTCCAGTAAGCCCATCGTTCCCTGTTTAGAGCATGGCGTTTTAATCCGCAGGTTTTTGGAAACCTGGCGCCCTTTGTAATTCTAGGTTCGTGGAAGGTGTGCATTACCATTTAAGCTAGAAGACAGCGTCGAGCGTGATGTCTGAGAAGATTTCATCGGCAGGACAGACCGCAGGTCATTTTTCCAACACGGAACACGTCGGCCACGTTCATCGTTAGCGTGGAAATTGCAGAGAGGTGGGAGAAGGATGTGTCAGGGGCCCTTTTTCGGGTCATTTTTCATATATGCCAGGCTCTAAATCCTAAATCCTAAACGCTAGACCCAAAAATCCCTATGTAAATCCATGTTTGTTGCCATGGCCTTCGCAGGGCATGGTGTGACGGGTGAGGGTGGGGCAGTCTCCAAGCTTTAAATTACCCAACAATCCTCGAAGAGCTGCGGCCTTGAGCTCTAGCCTGTGAATCGAAGAGAGCACCAGGACCATGTGGGGCTTGCTCAAAACTGGTATTCAGGAGGATCACTACAGGCATGATAATGGAAGCATCTGAGCCCGTTTGCCTGATTTGTGAGGCCATTTTGCCCACCTTCCATGGGACCAGCATCTGAGCATGGCACATTTGCCAGACTGACGCTAATTTGGGCCAGAGTTTAAACTCCTGAATGGGGGTTATCTAGGGGAAGGGGGGATACTAGGAGTTTAGACTGTGGCTCCTATGTCTCCCTCGATATTTCTGAGCAGGAGAGTCTTTTTGCCTGCCCCGAAAGCACTGTAGTCATACGAAATGCTATGGCAAAAACACTAAACCCAAAACCCTAAACCGCGTGGCCATGTTTCTGAGAACCCCCGGCCCCTCATCTCCTCACCCTGCTTGCCCACAGGGTCCAGCTAGGTGGGGAGTATATACATCAGCCCCAAAGTAATTGCCTCAACTATATACTACTATATGAGCTGCAGCCAATATTTGTCCTTTGACTGCTGGACATAGTTTTTGTTAGGGAATAGAGTAGGGGCTAGACTAAACTACCATGAATGGCGCCTTGGTAAGCATAATATTGACAGTCGCTCATATAGATACCTAGAAATCTTGTAAACCCCCACCCAGGAATAATGACTATGAATCCCTAAGCCTGAAACCCTAAACCCTAAGCCTTAAACCCTGAACCTAGATCTTTTGGGTGGGTAAGGTGCGATTCATGCTGGGCCCGAAGACGCTCTTCCGTATGCAAACATCGCTCCTGTTCCTGAAGGCCGATTTTGGGTTTTAGAATTCAGGGTTCTAGGGCTTAGGGTTTAGGGTTTAGCGTTTAGGGTTCGAGGGTTTTAGGGTTATAGGGTTTAGGGTTATAGGGTTTAGGGTTTGAGGGTTCAGGGCTTTAGGGTTCAGGGTTAAATTGGGGTAATGGAAAAGAAAATGGAAACTACTACTGTACAAGGGGGTTATAGGGTTTAGGGCAAGGGTTTTAGACTTGTAGGGTTTATGAGCCCGAACTGCTCAGTCCGAACCTCCGCATCATGGCATCGTTTGTGGGTTTGGAATTCAGGAAGCCCTGAAAAGACCCCCCCCTATTACTGTAATTCTGTGTCTCCCTTACATGGGGCATGTTTTGGGCGTTTGTTGAATACAAAGGGCATTTCTGGTTTTGTGTTCGAGGGCTCTGAAGAAGTCTTAGGAGGGAGACTTAGACAAGACCCCCAATCCCATTACATTACATTACCCTGAAATAGCATGTTCTTCAGGTACCTTAAACCCTAAACCCTAAACCCTAACCGCCCCCCATATGATCAGGCAGTCCCCATATTGCCCTTCATAACCTCAGGGGTCCCCATAAGGGTCCGTAAACCCTAAGACCTCAAACCCTAGACCCTAAAGCCCTAAACCCCGAAACCCTAAATCCTAAAACTCTAAAACCCTTACCCTAAACCTTACATAACCCCGTTATAGTAATTCCTGTTTTCTTTTCCATAATCCCAACATTACTCCAATATAACCCTGAACCCTAAACCCATTCCTATAAGACAGGTGGAGAAGGGCTCGAACATTCTCTGCCAGATTGCACCAGGCAGGCTCAAGCCTGGCAGCTGCCACTCTGCTTATGCAATGAAACCCAAGGGAAAGTTTAGGGTTTAGGGGGTTACTTGGAGATTTGAGGTAGTTACAACCCAATCATGACTGGTATATAACTCGACAAGAACCATATTACGGGAAAAAGGGGGCGGGAAGGCTTAGGGTTCAGAGGATTTGGGTTTGGGGTTTAAGGGGTAGGGTTTGGGATTTTGGATTGGATTCGTGATTTCGGTGGTGAAGGGATTTTGGTCTACTTGAGTCCCCCCCCCCACAAACGCGTACTTCTTTTTTGGGCGGTGGTGTATCGTATGTTTCGGATGGTAGTTCTAGGGGCAGTTACCTTCTCGGCGTTGCTTCTGGCACATTTGTATTGGTTGATCTATTTCCGTTTTCACGTTCATTGTCCTTGTATTGTGATAGAAGTAGAAGTGTGAGGCAGTAGTGACGGTGGGAGGGGCTGCAGCAGTAGCAGAAGTATGATTGGCAGCGCAGTCAGCGTCAAAAGCACTACAGTAGTCGTTGATTGTTCAGTTGTTCGCGCTTGGCTGTGCTGAGCTGTGTTGTTTTGTTGCTGTCATAAGGTACGTATTGTATGAGAGCCTGCTGAAGCTGTTTACAGATAGTTATATGCTACCAGGCAGTTGCTTTGGTAGCGCCGCATTTCCAGCGTAAGGCTTTTATAAAGTAAAAGCTTGTCAGAATCACGTAGTGGAGCTTCTCAAAAGATTATCATTCATTCTCTGTCTCTCCCCCTCTCCCTCTCCCTCTCCCTC